TACAGTATATGTGCAATAAGTTGATGTCAGCCAATATATTGGCCTGCCTGAGTATGAACTTTTACTTTGAAGGTACACTGTGAAGATTTGAACAAACTTTAATAATCAAGTTTTCTCTTTTTCACTGTGTATTCTCGAGGCCTAACAAACATGTAAAATACAGTCAATTCCTTGAAAGCCTTTAAAGACTTTTTTAATAATTTCAAAACCTCCACTATTTATGGTCATGTTTAGGTCTTCTTTGTTTCGTCTATGCTGGGACATTGTTGCTGTAGATTACTGTGTAGTGTGAAATCAGCTGGCGGGAATGTGTAGTTGTTACCTGCATGCTTGCTTGCATTTAGGTGTTAGCATTCTTCATATGTGTACCACACCATTTTGGGGGTTAAAAAAAAAAAAAAAAAAAAGAAGGCACAGGGAGGACTTTATTCTTCTTCTCTCTCCCCGTCTGTTTCCACGTGTGCGTGTATATTCATGTCTCTGTTTTCTTTGGCACAACAAACCAAGTGCAAGCCAGATTCTGATTTTGTTTTCCCATCATTGATGAGGACATCAGAGTTTATGTGAATGGAGCCAATGCCATGTCCCACTGTACTGTATTAAGCCTGAGGGTTTATGTGCGCGTGAAAGAGTCTACAGCATATGTGTACGGGTACTGCATGTACTTTCAGTTGCATGTGTGCAAGTGTCTATGACCATGTGTTTTTTTTATATTTATATCATCCTGTCCTTCCTAGAAGAAATCACCCATGGTTGGTTTTACAGCATCCTGAGAGGGACAAGTGGGAAGCACAGCAGGCAGCAGGGGAATAGTTATTATCATCTGGTCAGCAGATGGGAGAAGCTGGATAGGGAATTGCTGTGTGGTTTACTTTGTCATCAACTCATCTCATTTCACAACCTTCCCCTAAGAAGTTGAACATAATCAAAACCCAGAACTCAATATCAACTTTGACCCCGTGGAGACTGAATGACTTGTGACCTTTTTTGTTTTGTTTTGGCCAGTGTAAGACAAAAACAGGCAAGGAGAGAATTTTTTTAAATGAAACAGAAAATAAGTGTCCAACATTTGTGAATAAGGGTTTGTACTGTATACCCAATCGAGACAAGCAACTACCTCCTGGTATTTTAGATCCTCTTGCTCTGCTTAAAAATGACCTCACTCAGAAATAGCAGTGGATTCCAGACTCAACCAAAACACATCACACCCTTGCTTAATAGACTAACTTTCCCAGTAAAGGCTTGGCATCAGTTAAAAGAAACAAATGTGATCTGTTCAAGAATTCAAAACAATGATGATTTAAATTAATAATAGTAAGATTTGCTGAACTGTGATAAGTAATGTAAAATGCCTCTTACCAATACAGAAAATGGAAAACCTTTTTGTGTATAGGGGTGTTCACAGTCTTTGCTCACATATTTATTCAACATTAAGATGTTCTTGAACACTACACATTCAAATAAAACTTGTATATTGCAGTGAAAATACAAAACCGGTATCCCTCTGTTATCGATTAACCACACTATTCCTTGATTTCAAGTAAACCCTTTTGGTAA